CGCCGCTCCCGGAGAAGAAGCTCATCACCCGCAACATCGCCGAAGTCATCAAGCAGCAGGAGAGCGCCCAGCGGGCGCTACAGAACGGACAGAAAAAGAAGAGAGGCAAGAAGGTTAAGAAACAGCCCAACAACCTCCTCAAGGAAATAAAAAACTCCCTGAGGTCGGTGCAGGAGAAGAAAGCGGAGGAGAGTTCCCGACCTTCGACCCCGCAGAGGTCAGCTCATGACAACCTCATGGAGGCGATTCGGGGGAGCAGCATAAGACGGCTAAGGCGGGTGAGTACCCCACGAGCAGGCCCCGGGCTCAGTCGCCCCAAAATACTTATTGCTATTTTAACACGCAGGAGCAAGCACACCAAGTTTGCAGCCTCAGGGGCAGGTCACTGCTGAGCAGTTTCCCTTTGAGACACGGGCCTGGGCACCAGTCTTAGGTCCTTTGAGGGCCAGGCCCAGTGAAGGGCACCCACCATATAAAAATCTTGATTTCCTTAATAAAAAAAACAAACAAACAGGGAGTACAACCTGCATTCCAAAAAGGATCCATCGCTTGTCAAAAAGCTTACCATAGAGTTGCCAGTGGTTTCAAACCCAATTCGTAATATACACTTTTAATGCCAGGTAGCAACATCCAGTCTATATCTGAGTTCCTGCTAGAGGCATACCTTAGGGATGTTTTTATCACTTGTGTTGTTTTTATTGAAAGAATACCCCCTATTTTTGTAGGTGGAAGTTCCAGATGCTCTGCGATAAAAGCACAGAAGATGCAGAATTGTTCATTGGTATTAAACAAAGTGCATCGTGAGATGTTTCTAAAATACCTTCTTCAGTTTGAAATGTACCGACTTTAAAAATAGCCTCGCCCATTAATTCCAAAGAGAATTTTGAGAAACAGTCGGCATGTTTCTTCTGTAAATATGAAAATAAACTTCTTTTTTAATGTCATGAGACTTGTATTGGCAGGAAGCAGTTTATTGAAAGATGCTTCATATCTTTGGATGTGTTGGTAACTCTGAGCTGTTGAGTTAATGAAATGTGCTGTTATTTTTGTAATCCCAATAAATTTGGATTGACTTTTTTTGTTTTTTTTAAACAAACTAATATTTTTTTGTGAGTTGATACATTTTCAGGTGTGTATGTAACATTGTTAAATATTAAATATATTACAGTCTCACCCAAAAAGGGTTTGGGTCCTTAGCATTTGCTTTTCTTTGTTTTCTCCAAGAAAAACGTGATCCAAGCTCTTTCTAAAGGTCTGGAATTGGAAACTTTCTTTAAAATCTTCTTGGCAGTGAGATAAAAACTCAGGAAAAGACCCCAAAGTGGACATTATTACCCTGGAGGCATTGATATTGGACCCAGGATGTCTGCTGACACCCCCACATTCCCCTAAAGCTGATAGGTCAGTTCAGTCATTTATAATTAAAATGAACTGTTTATGGAAGAAGAAAAATTGAAAATTAGAAAGTTTCTTGGTAAACAGGAAATAGGTACTAGGGGAATGCATGAAAGATAGGCCCCTGAATTTAGAGCTATCTGGTGGCTGATGCTAAAGATTCTCCTTTTGAGCTCTCCTTGGAAGAGCCCTAGTCCAGTGGGTCTCAGCCTTTTGTGCCCTACACACATAGTGGTGGTGTCAACATCCATGACACACATCCAGAGACAAGGACACATGTATCTATAATCATGGAGTATCACTGCCCCATTCCCTCTCACTCAAGAAAGATCTGAATTCAAATAAGAGAAAGACCTCTCAGAGATTACCTTTGTTCCACTCTAGTGCTCCGCTCCAATTTATGAAAGCTATAAATCTCTTCTAAAGTCCCTTGTAATAACTATGATTAGCAATGTTTCCTCTGTGTCCTACAGAGTAAAACAGTGGTCGCTTTGGATTACCTTCAATGAAAATTACCTTCAGTTTTACTAGAAAACTCTCCAATAGTTCTTGGGTCTGTCTTTTTAAATTTTATTTTTAAGTAAAATAAAAAAGTAAAGTATTACAGGTGTCCCACTTTTCCCCCCATTGATCCCTCCATCCCACTCCTGCCCCCTCCCCAGTCCTTCACCCCATTATTGTCTGTGTCCATGGGTTATGCATATATGCATATAAATTCTTTGGTTAATCTCTTCCCACCTCCCACCCCACCCCACTTCCCTCTGAGATATGACAGTCTGCTGTTCCATGTTTCAATGTCCCTGGTTCTGTGTCTTTTAGTCAATTTCTCTTGTTCTGTCATTCTCTTACTCAATAAGAACAACTGACAATTTTTCTTAAGGAGGTAGGTCAGTGTCCTCACTCTGTGCGTGGAGTGACTGACATTTTCTGAACTACCTTTTCTCATGCACTTTTCACAACAACATTAAAAGGTGCTATCCCATTTTACAGATGAGGAAACCCAGGCTCAGCGAGGGTGAGGTTGGATGTGAGACTGGCTGTCTCCAACTGTATAGCCTGTGCTCCCCTGCACCACTCTGCTCAAGCCCCCAAAGTCCCCCTGTTCTTAGAACAGCGGTGGGGATTTCCGTTTCCCTTGGTAGTGACTTTACTATTTTTACCCCTTTTCATTGGTGTTCACAATCATGCCCATTATTGCTGTTCAAAGAAATAAAAGATAAAATGTAGGTTTTTAAAAGGTGCATGGGCATGTGTGCGTGTGGATTGAGAACAGAAAGCCGAGGAAGACCCCCCCGCCGATCCTTTTGTGTACATGAGAATGAGGGTCTTCTAAATGGGCACAGCTTCCAATTCCATCACACTGTGGCAGAGGAGCAAATGTTTGCTCGTAACTGGGTTGTCCGTGAAACCATGAGTTTCAGGAAGAGGGTTTGAGGCGACTCCCAGGGTGAGGGGAGAGAAAGAGGAGCTGCCATGCTGGGGAGGCTGGCCAGGCCTTCTCATCAGGAGTGATTAAGAGACACAGTTTCCTTTGCATTTCAAAAGGCTGCCTTGCTAGGACTTTGGGGGCTCAGAAAAGAGCAGCCTGCACTTACTAGGTGCATCACAGAATGAAATAAATATATGTACCCACACACTCAGTCTACAAAACGAAATATTATAAAGCCCATAACAAGACAAGTATGGTATGAACAGATACTGAGTACATTGATCATTCAGGAAAACACTTCTAGAATGTCGTTTCAGAAGACAATCCTGTAAGCATGCAACATGTTATTCAGCACCAGGACAGAGATCCTAAGCTCATCCCTCCTGCAAACTCATAGAGCTAGTAAGAAAACTAATTCGCTCCTCCTGTAGAAGAGCTTTCAGCTCACTGGAAGAGAGGCTGTCCAAGCCCAGATGCAGTATTTAGGCTATGATTTATACCTGCACATTAATCTCTTAAAGAACACCTCATTCCGATTTGAAATGGGGCCAGGATGCTGAGTTTCGCTGGCTCCAAGAGCCCTGCTGCCACAGGTGTTTAATAACTCAGTGTCAGCAGGATCTTGATTTAATACCTGCCCAGTTGTAGTTGCTACCAGTGAGTGAAAGGAGGAGGTAACAGGCTGCTGTGCCTGTACTGAGATGCACCGAAGAGGGGCGTAAATCAATATATTTTTAACAGGACCTCTTTACTTCCTTTTATGACAAAGTTAGCATTGTCTTTTCCTTTGTTTTTCTGAGGCTTGGGAAGTAAAGCTTTATTTTCGTCAATCATCAAATAACATGATATAAAAGACTAAGAATTGACTTAAGAATTATAAAACTCAGCCGGGCTGGGTGTAGCTCAGCGGCTGAGCGTCGACCCAGGATCCAGGCCATGGGCCTTCCAGCCCGGTCAGGGCACATGCCTGGGCTGTGGTCCCATCCCCAGTGGGGGGCGTGCAGGAGGCAGCCGATCAATGACTCTCTCATCATTGATGTTTCCATCTCTCTCTCTCCCTCTCCTTTCCTCTCTCTGAAATCAATAAAGATATATTTAAAAAAATGTTTTATAAAACTCAGAAATACAGTACCAACACTGGTGCACTTAACACTTCCACAAGTATGTTGTGAGCGCCTCCGGCCCAGACACTCTTGCGCACCGAGGGTGC